GTTTTTAAGGCTATTTTCTAAACTTCTAAGTATATCTTTTGAAAATTAAACTTTTAGAATTTGAGTGAAAAACATAGTTATATAAGGATAAGTTTTCGTTTTTAAGGCTATTTTCTAAACTTCTAACTTTTGAAAATTAAACTTTTAGAATTTGAGTGAAACATAGTTACATAGGATAAGGCGTTAAGGATTTGTTTTTGAGATTATTCTTTTTTTTGTTGTTTTTTTATTTTTTTATTTTTATTTTTTTTTTGAAACTATTCTTTAAGAAAATAATTCACCATAGCAGTTGACTTTACTTTAAGAAACCACGGTATTTCTACATACATCCTTAGGTTATACCCACAAAGGTCTTTTTATTTTATTTATTTTATTATTATGGTCTTGAAAAGTAGATAATTCGAAAACTCTTGCATCCAAAATCTTCCATAGAGGGCAAAAAGGGTTATGTCTAGGGTCATTCAGATTAATTCATTCATTTAAAATAGTCTTCAGTTTCACCATTCAGTTTCACAAATAACTTTTGAAACTCTTGGCAATAGAGCTAACACAGAAAAGTAATCCATATTTTAAGCATAGATCAAGACACACATTGTACCCCATAAACATATACAATTATTTGTCCATTAAAAACACAATTAGAAAAAGAAAAGTAAATTTGTATCCTAGGCAAGAATAAATTTAAAATGGACACATTTTAAATGCATCCATTTAAAATGTCCAAATTATATGCACATTTGTGGTATCTGAAATAGTCCCTGGACTAGAAACAAAAAATCACAAAAACAAAAGTATATTTACAAAAATGTTTTGAGACTTAACGTGGCTAACTTGGTATAGTGATTCCTTATAAAAGTTAGTGAGAACATCCCTGTCCAACAGAACTTTCCAGAATGATAGAAATGTAAATCAACATGAAAATTAAAAGCAAATACATTTGCATTGTCCAATGTGGTAGTCATTAGGCAGAGGCGGCTATTGAGTATTTGAGATGTGACTAATTAGACAGAAGAAGCACCTTTAAAATTTGATCTTATTTTAGCTACTGAAAATTTAAAATTAAGTAGCCAGGAGCAGGTAGTGGCTGCTGTGTTGGATGACATAATCCAGAACGCCCTTTATTTTTTAAAAAATGTTTAAAGTCTTTCCCATGGTTTGAACTGGAATATACAAAACAACTTCTGTAAAAATCCCATTGTATTGAGCAAAGTAAATTTTGTTGCACTTTACTTTAATTTGGTTCTTTACTATTGTCAAAATTTCACAAGTTAATTCTATTATTGTAATAGTCCCATGTCAAACAATTTTTCGATGTTAAACATTTAAAGTGGCTGTCCATAAGATTTATTTTTTGCTAAATTGTCTTCAACATTTTGTTTCGTTTTCCAAATACAATCAATAAACATTAAAAATATTCTCAATAAAAATGCTCAGATTTTTTTCTATAGTGTTTTATGTTAATGACAACATACACTTTTCAGCTAGTTTAATGAATGTAACACAGCTAGAATGTTTGCTTTCTTCCTTAGTATGGAAAACAGAATAGTTTAACCCAGAAACAGTAATTGACCATGATGGGTATGATTGTAAGGCTATTGAAAACTTTAGCATTGCTTTGTCCTTCCTGGGTAGAATTAAGTGTTATTAATGCATGTCATTTTATGCTTTAATATTTACTTTGATATATGGTAATATTTAATTTTGGCAATCAAGGCTAAGATTTTTGCCACTGGCTTTCAGCTTTCCTTATAGCCCATATCTTCATCTAGCAGAATAACTTCCCTTTGGGAATTTCATGATATTCACTCTTTGGTAAGAATAAAGCACTTGTCACCCCTTCCTTTCACCCTAACTTACAATAGTTTAACTCACCATACATTAAATTTACAATGACCTTTTTCACCATGTTAAAAAAGTCTGGTCATCTGCTTTGAGGTGGAATGATCGGTAATCTCAGATAATTAGCAAAACTGATCGGGAAGATTGATGAATAACAGGTATAAATCTCAGTCTCCAAACACAGTTGGGCAAGCAATATAACTATTTTTCTATAACAGCTTAATTTCTATTTTGAGCCTCCATGCACTGGGAGTAGAAGCTTTATCTTAGTCATTTAAGGTTTTTGACTTTCCTTGGATGGCAAGGAAATAATCTAGGGCAGGAGTGGGGTAGGTTTGGGAGAATGCCAATGGGTAGTGTTTCATCCTTTCTTCCAGACTTGCTTCTAAGTTGTAGGAGTCTTCTACAATGCCAAGCTGGGGAGAGGGCATCAGAATCAGATTCTTGCCATTTTCCTTAGCCTACAGCAACTGAGATGTCCCTTGTCCCAGCTGGTCTTCAGGCACTGGCCCTTTGCCATCCTTATTCCTGTCCTCAAGACTCATTCACATGGAGCAGCTCCTGTCTCTGCTGCTCCCAGCAACCTTTCAAGCCCAGGGAATCGTTTCGCTACTGCCTCATAATTTTGCATCACAGGAAATGTTTTTTTTTTCCAGTTTTCCATCTATGTTCATGCAGGACTGGCTATGTAATTTGTAGGTGCGAAACAAGGAATTCGCTCTTGATACTTCTTGGATATCTCAGTCTTATTTTTTGACTTTTTATGTGGGGCGAATTTTGGACTTTCAGTTGCCTTGTGTAATAGAATGTCTCTCTACTGGGGTATGTCTGATGTTTTCTCCTGATTAGATTGAGAGGGTGCATTTTGGGGGAAGCAACCCTAGAGCTGATGTGCTGTCCTCAGTATTGTGGCCTTTTGAATTTGTCAATAGAAAAACAGTTCAATAGCTTGCCCCAAATCATAGAGTTATTAGCACCAAAGCCAGTACTAGACCTCAAGTCTCACTTCTATGGTAGAGTTGTCACCACTCACCCATAAATCCTTTCATGCGTGTTTCAATACTACTGAGTTGTTCAGCAGTAGCCTTCTAGGATTGTGACTGCTGATTCCTTGTTTGGTTGCTGCACCCATAGTGACGTGTGTGACATGGGGAAGCTGGGTTACGGAAAGAAATTCTGGAAGAAAAACAGTAGTTTCAGACGTTATGAAGATTAGTTCTTGCTCAGTATTTCTGATGCTTCATGAATGGTGATGATGGTGGTCACCACTTAGGAAGCCCCGCCTGTGTGTCAGCCATTGTGCTCTCTATGTGGGTCAGCCACTCCAGCCTCAACTCTGCATCACCACCTTCCCCGTCTAGAATCTGCTTTGCAGACGAGAAGCTG